GGGCTGCGCCTGCCGGCCTGGCCGGCATCCGCGGAGCCCGCCCCTCCAATCGTAAGCTCGGGGCGGCGGCGCGCGACCGCGGAGCAGCGGGGCGCGCGCCACGCGCCGCCGCCGCCGCCGCCGCCTCGGCGCCGCGCGTCGCCAGGGTGATGAAAGCGCGCCGGGCGCCTCGACGGCGGTGTGCCGGAACCTGTGATGAGTGAGGTCGTGCGTGTTTTATGCAGTGCATCGCCCTGAGTAGATGATTGCAGCTACTTCGAGTTTGTAGATACCGTGTTGGAGGGGCGTCGTATCCCTACGCTCAGCCGTTGCTGACAGGCAGCTGGGCGGCCCCGCCCCGCGGCGTCCATGATGCATTCAGAACCCAAGCAGTTCGCGTCGCTGTGCACCCACTTTGCCTTCCCCTCCCGAGAAAGCACCAAGGCGCTGCGACGCTGTTTTCAGGGCGGCAAACTCGGGTCGGCGTGTGGGTATCGTGCCGTATGCTGATGCACAGTGTGGCTGTGCACACGCGTCGCAGCGCCAGGCATTACGCTCACTGTGCATTTGCCTGTAGAGATGCTAGCTTGCTCGTCGATCTAGTCAGAGTGAAGGGGTACGCCTTGGCATTTGAGCAGGCACAGGTGCGGTGATTTCACACCGTGTTGTTTCGGAGCCGTGGCGAGTGCTGTGGAGGCACGGTGCTGTGGAAGAGCGTTTAGTCACGTGTCCTGGGCTCGATGTTATGCGTTGCGCCGGATACAGTTGGTGATCAGTTGATCAGCCGAAGCTGTTGATCGCACACGCTTCGTTTGCCGCCTCCAGCGTCTGTGTGCGCCCGCGTGCGCAACGCACTGGACTGCATCCCAAAATGCCCATTTCAAACTGGGTGTCTGCTAAATTGGTGTAAAAGGATATCCCTGTGCTCGCAAAGCAATGCGTGTGAAGGGATGTGCTCATTGCGGGTGGAGTTGCGCGCATGGTGGATGCACCAGCTCAGGGGTCAGAGTGATGACGCTGATGCAAGACCCTGTATTTCGTGAGATCCAGGTGTATCTCTTTTCAAAAACCCACCAATAAATTATTTACCACAGCTCTATTGACGCGCTGTGTCGCAACGAGGGCGCGGCCTCGAAATCACAAACCGCTTTGGACTGTAGCACGGATCCGCCCGCGGGGGATCCCGACTTGCTTAGGCACACCCCAATTTATTTCGTCGAATGGGCACAATTTACCGCCCGGGCGCATACCGTCCGGGCAGCGGGCGGCCGACGCCGTCGCCGACGCCGGACGCGCAGCTGCCTGCCCCGGAGCCCGAGGATGCGTCCCCCAGGAGCGCCACGACTCTGGAGTCCCCGACGGCATACCTCGATGAGTCATACCTTTGTCATAATCATGCATCTTATGGATGCGCTGGCCACGGGAGCGAGTCGTGTGGTGGAGGCGGCGGCGGCGGCCGCGGTGGCGCGGCCCAGCACGAGCAGCAGCTCAGCGCGCGGGAGGCGCAGCGATACACCGAACGCTACACGCCGCCGCCGCCGGCGCTGCTGCAGCCGCAGCTGCGGCAACTGCGGCAGCTGCGGGAGCATCAGCATCAGCAGCATCAGCATCAGCAGCAGTGCAGTGGCGGCGGTGATCCGTTGCACGACTTGCGGCCGCAGGCGCAGCATCCCGGCGGCGCAGGCGTGGGCGCGGTGCACACAAGCGCGGGTCAACGCGACTGGCATAATTGCGAACACACACAGCAGCAGCAGCAGCAGCAGCAGCAGCAGCAGCAGCAGCAGCAGCAGCAGCAGCAGCAGCAGGGGGAGGAGGAGCGGGCCCACCAAAGCCAGGGCCAGGGGCCTGCGGAGCAAGGGGTCCAGCGTCCGCCAAGGCCAGCGTATCACGTGGAGGAGGGGCAGCTGCACAAGCATGGGGAGGAGCAGACTTGCCATAAAAAACACCCAGGCAAGCAGCAGCAGGGGCAGCAGCAGCAGCAGCGCTCAGGCAAGGGCGCCAAGCCGCGGTGGAGTGGCATGGACGTAGTCATCAAGGTGAAGACCTTGAGGGGTCAAGGTTTTGGGGCGTGGGGGGAAAGGGGTGGCACAGAAGAAGGGGTGGACGACAGCAGGCCAACTATGTGTGTGATGAGAGGGGTATCAAGGTGCAAGCCAGACAGGGCATAGGCAAGGGCTGCAGGGTTGCGGGAGCCCCCCCTCCGAGAGACGCGCTGCCCACACTCGAGCATGAGGGAGTTCCCCAACCACAGCGCGACACAACCAAACCGTGCTTACCAGCGTCGGCTAGTTTCACGCGTTCTCCCTTTTGCTGGCGTGTTCCACGAGTTTTTTTGACTCCCCCCCTGCTCCATCAGGAGCTGTCGTACCGCGTCAACGCGGGCAGGGGTGAGAAGAAGCAGCTGCTCGCTGATGTCACCGGCTTCTTCGAGCCCGGGAGGCTCGCGGTGCTGATGGTGGGTGTGTTCTCGGTGGGAAGTTGACAGAAGGAAAGGACGGCCTACAGGGCGGGCGGGCGCTGCATTCCCAGCAGGTGGTACGGTCGTGTCTACAGCGCCGGCGCCGGCTTGTGCCCTTTGCTGGCTGAAAGACGAGGCGCCTTTGTGCTCCCTCCGCTCAGCGTGCAGCATAGCGTTGTCAACAGCCCAATTATATACATTAGCCATACAAATTCAGCCCTATGATATCAGCAGCCCCATGGTCAGCCCCACAATCAGCCCTGTCAACGGCCCTCGCGCCGCTTGCCCCATTTGCTCGACGCCCGCCCGCGCACCTGCCGGCAGGGCCCGAGCGGCAGCGGCAAGACCACCCTTCTTGATCTGCTTGCCGGCCGCAAGTCCACGGGCAAGGTCCGGGGGGAGATCCTTTTCGCCGGCCAGCGGCCAACTCGGCCCTTCCTGCGGCGCTTCACCGGATACGTGAGATCTGGCATGAGATCGGGCGACCCCCCGGCTTCCCGTGGCGGCTCTGCCCCAGGGGTTTTGGCCTGTTGTAAACGATGTTTGGGGGGGAGGAGGGTGGGTAGGGAGAGCTTGGTGCAGTGCAGGGGAAGGCGGCGGCGGCAGCACCTGGCCTTGCTGCGCTGCAGCGGCGGGGACGCCTGGGCCGGAATCCACGCGAAATCAAGTCCCTTTGGTGACCCCAGGGGTGGCCAGCCTCAAGCACGCCTTGGCTGCCATACTTGCAGTGGATTCAATGCGTAATTTGCGGTCCGACCCAACCAAAATATGTTCAGTGCATCTGGTCGGCGCGCCGACAAACGCCACCCGCCCACCGGCCCCGTCCCACCGGCCCCTCCGACCGCGCCCCCCGCAGGTGGAGCAGTTTGACACGCTGCTGCCCATGCTGACTGTTGAAGAGATGCTGCTGTACACGGCGGAGCTCAAAAGGCCCCTGGCAGAGAGCAGGACCACCAAGCGCGCGGCTGTCGAGGTGCGCTTGCGTGGTCGCGCCCAAGCCCCCGCCACCCGCGCCGGCCGAGCTGCCGGCTCGGCCGTCACGCCTGCCAAGCTTGAGCCATGCTTGAGCCATGCTTGAGCCGCCAGCGCTGCGTCGTACTAGCATGCCGCCTCCGCCGCAACGCTGTGGCCCCACGGCCCCTCCGTCGCCGCGTTTGTCGACGGGGTTTCCAGCTCCGGCACTAGACACATGCCTCCTCGGCACTGTGGCTTTGAAGGCTCCAGCGCCGCCCTGGGCAGGGTTGGACAGCGAGCGCTGGCTCCTGCATGGAAGTTGTGGGGGTACTGAGATCAGGGTTAGGGGTCCGAGCCGACTGCGAAACACACAGGCGGTGCGCCGACGCCACGCACGCGCTTTGAAGCGGGGTGTCTGCCGCGCACCCATGATGGTGCGATCCGAGGTTGCGCGCGCCGCGGCACCCTGTGCCCGCTGCAGGAGCTGCTGGAGACGCTGGCTCTGGCGGAGTGCAGGAAGGTCAAGATCGGTGAGATCACAGTTTGTTGCTCGGGTCCAAGGTAACAGATTACATGTACATTGGTCAGGAGTTGCGCAGGCCCCGACAGGAGTCACTCGGACCCGGCATGTCAGAGCTTAGTGGTCACTATGACGGAACATGTGTCCACCTGTCTGTATTGCACGGACGCAAGCTGGGGGTTCAGATTGTTGGACTGTCACCCTAACCACAGATGGTATGGTAGCGAGGGCTAGAAGCCTTAACCCTGCCTTGGGCTCAGGGGCGGCCACGCGGTTGCCTCAACGAGCGCTGACGCGACACGGGGCTGCCTGCGCCAGATGGCAGCGACGCTCCTACGCGACTGCGCCCGTCAGGCGTGGGTGTCCCTGGACACACCCAACAGCTAGCGGTTGACATGCAGCGTTTCAACATGAAGTCAGGGGCCACCTGTCTGATCATTAGCCAACCGACGACCTCAAACTTGTGGCTTGCTGTTCTGGTTGCACCCTCGATCGTCGTGATTGTGCAGGCAACCCCCTCTCCAAGGGCATCAGCGGCGGCCAGGCCAAGCGCACCAACATCGGCATCGCGCTCATCACCAACCCCAGGTGCGGGCCGGTCCACCAGGCTGCACTTTTAAACTCCATTGCCACCCGCCCAGCCCTCACCGCAGCGCTGCGAGTACATCAGCCATGTGGCATGCCACGCGGAACCCGCGCGCCGGATGATGCCACATACACAGCGCGTGGGAGGCAGAGGGGACTGTATCAGTTGTGATCACTTCTGCCACAGTACTACCGTTTCCATTCTACTATCACCTTGAAGCCTGAATATAATCCGTTGGCCTCATCATTCGCATCACCACCACCGTGGCCCCCAGGGTGCTGATGCTGGACGAGCCCACCAGCGGCCTCGACAGCTTCACAGCAAACGAGGTGCGCGGGCTGGCAGCTGGCGGCGCAACGCAACCTGCAATACTTAACATGGTTATGGCCACCTATTACACTCTCTTCACTCAGCCTCCCTCCCTCACGCACTCGCGCACACACACACACACACACACACACACACACACACACACACACACACACACACACACGCACACACACACACAC